CACACACACACACACACACACACACACACACACACACACACACACACGATGACCTCACCTTATCATATGACCGCTTCATGTGACTGCAGTCTTGTGAGCCGGTGTGCTTTGAGAAGTAGTCGTGTGCTGTTTCAATTACATTTTTACCAAAATTAATGTTTTTTCTTTATGTATCAATTTGTAAAAGTCCGTTTTTTTTGTGGGGTTTTAAACAAAACGTATTGCTCCAACAGAACTGCTCACACCTCACAATCCTCCACCCAATGTGCCCCCCCGTTACACGCTGACAGACAGGTTTAATCAGTGAGAGGCGTCGCCGATTTAAACTACACGCTGATGTTCTGTGAAACCTGCAGACGGTGCAACCCGACGACAAGCTCGGTCATAATTCAAAATCTAGTTTGTTGCACTAAAGCTACGATGACAAGATATTGAGGGAAATGAATGCGATGCAACTTTTCTTTTTAAACTCCTTTCAGAAGTTCATTATTCTCATTTGTCAGCTGGGCTTCATCGTGGGAACCTGAGCAGGTGTAGTTGTTGATCAATGACTGTCCTGTGTGGCCAATAAAGGAGTTCACATTCATCAAATCAGTTTCCTTCTTCATCAACGCTGTGTGTTACAGGTTCTCTTATTTGCTGGTTCCAGAACCTGACAGTGAAGGACAGAAACAGTCTGGGCAATTATTTTAAGATCTGTTCAAAGATTATTTGAGAAAAAAAGATCAAGGAGCATTTTAATTGCTGCCTTTAAGACGTCTACATGTTCTATCTGCCTTTAAATCATGAGAGCTTTTACCTCAACTCTAACTTGCCACTGCAGATGCTTTTAGCCAGGTGAAAAAAAAAAGTACTTTTTTGTATTTCAAATATACTGACATTTTCAATAGTACACTGCAAATATACTATCAAAGAATTGTACTTTCTGCAAATATATAAAAAGTATACAAAAGTCACGCTTTCACCTATTTACATTAAGTTGTTCCAATTTAGCACACAAAAATATACTAAGTACACTTCAAATTGTGCATAACTACTGTTTAATCACAACTAAAATATATTAAGTATAAAATACGTTGTTCCAAAATAGCACTCTTTAAGTATACTGATGATTAGTAGGGCTTCAAGTATACTCAAGTATGCTAAAATTAAATATACTTAGCATATTTATTTTTCACCTGGGTAATCATCACACTCAATCACATATCTTATTTTGATATCATCACTATTTAAAAGCGTCGACCAGACTCCTCGGTTTCTGACTATTTGTGGGATTACATATTGTTTCTTTACTGCAACCGAAGAGGTATTATCTTTATCGAAGTAAAGTGTGAAATAAAGTATGATAAGAATGTTTGCAGTGGCATTATACTGCAGATTAAATTCATCAATTGCGTCACAGACTCTGTTGGGTCAAGTTGTTTGGTGTTACACCATTATCCCTTCTTCACTCGTCTTTGAGCTTTATTCATGCTTTTATGGGGCTTCATTACTTTGTGGAACTTTATATCATTCGATTGTTAGCCTTGTAATTATCTGGGTTTTTATTGCGTATTTCTGGACATACAATAAATGGACGGAGGGTACATAGTTATCGTTCATTCATAAATAAACATATAAAAATGTGGCTAAGCATCCAAGAATAATAAATCTACAGGTGAGCTGCTGCATACAATTCCCCTTACAGTTATCAATAAAGTTGTATTGAATTGAATTCAATGCATTGCCACCCTGGAGTGCTTTAGAGTTTATTTCTTTTAATCTACCATGTAACGTGTTGTCACTGACCCCTAATGGTGGGTTTTGGAACTTCCACGGAGCGATGCGACAGAAAAACAAACAGAAAGCAGAAACACATTTCTTTCTTTTTTTTAAACACTTGTAAAACAGAAGTTTACAAAAGAAAACCTGTAAATAGCACCACGATGACGAACAGTACCAGACAAGCGGCCACACGGAGGATGTCAACTTGTCAGTAGAAACCCATAGCGGCGTATTAGTCCCATATCATCCACTATGTTTAATCATTTCTCTAATACAAACAGTTTAACATCATAACAATGCAGTCACTTCATATAAGTTAAAAAAAAGGTAAAATGTGGAATAAAATCTCACGGGGAAATATTGTCCAGCTATGCAACCATAGGTGTGTCTTTGTATTCTGTGTCTTCCTCTCCTCACCTCACTAAACTAAGTACTCAGGACATCTGGAGGGGGGGGGGCTGATGGGAAATGACTTTCGCCGGTTCAGTTAATTTGCATCTGTGCAGATGGGATTTGAAAGAGAGAGGAGAGAGAGAGAGGAGAGAAGCAGAGGAAGTCACTTGAGCCCTAATGAGAAGCACACATAAAGTCTCTTCATTGCAAATTTGCAAATAAAATCTGTAGCTCAAGATGCTACTGGTCTCATTTTTGGTTGCCGCAGTCTTTGACCTCCCCTTTCAGCTCGGCCAGCTGCTCCGAATGCGCGGCCAGGGTGCCGTTCACCTCGGACAGATAGGAGTCCGAGTGTCTCTCGAGCTCCGCCCTGATCCGCTCCAGGTGCTCCGCCAGCTCCCCCAGGCTGCCGCACTGGCCCTCCACGCTGCTCACCCGGCTGTCGACGTCCTTCACCTCCCTCTGCACCTCTATGGCCGTGCTCCGGCAGCCCTGCAGCTCCCCGGCCAGCCGCCTCTTCAGGGCCCCCAGCTCCCCCTTCAGCTGGGCCAGCCGCCGCTCCCCGGCCCCCAGGAGGGAGGCCTGGTGGCCCACCAGCTTGGTGATCCCGTGCACCTGGTTGACTATCTGGTGCTCCCTCTGCTCCCAGGAGGCGTTGGCGTGGCCCACCTCGCTCGCGATGAATCTGATGGAGTCCTTCAGGCCCTTCAGGGTGCGGTTCACGGTGTTGATGTTGACCTTCAGCAGGGTGATCTCTCCCAGGACGGCACCCTCCGTGTCCTCCTGGGCGATGTGGAAGAGCAGGTTCTGCAGGGTGCTGTTGAGGCGGTCTAGCTGGTTGGAATGTGAGTCCAGGCGGTCCGTCATCTTCTTCCCCATCCCCTCGCATTCCTCCTCCACTTCGGCGATGCCGACGCTCCCCGCTGGCAGGGTGGACGGCGAGCAAGAGGAGGTGCACAGGAGCTCCAGGTCTATTAGCTGTTTCTGAATGCCGTCCAGGTCTCCCTCCACCCTCCTCCTCACGGACTCGATCTCCGTCTCCAGCGCCGGGACCACCTGACCCTCCAGGAGCGCCGGAGCGGTGGCGTTGCTCAGCTCCTCCACGGCCACGAACACCCTCTCCTCCAGGGTCTTCAGCTTGTCCTCCAGCAGGGTCTTGAAGCCGTCCAGACCGCCAGGGAGCCCCGGCGCTCCGTCGGGTCCGCCCTCCGTGGTGTTGAGGCGGCCCTCGATGTCCACCAGGCGGGTCTCGATCAGCGTCTCCACGTGGATGCTCTGGTCGGTGAGGGCGGTCTGGAGCTGCCGCTGAGATTCTGTCAGACCTTTGACGGACTCCTCCAGCCGCAGCACGCGCTGGGACAGACTGTTCACCTGCAATCAAGACGGAGTGGTATCAATCTTCTCATCTAACGGTTTGTGATTTGCGGTCTTAAATCTATGATAGCGGATATTGAGAGAAATAAATGCTCCTTTCACTCCCGTCACTGTTTTCACGTAAAAACTGTGACTTCTCATTCGTGACTTCAAGGAGAAGCTTGTTTTGCGTCCGTTTGTCGCAGAGCAAAGGAGCGATGATAGTGTTTTAAACAACGGCGGTTAGAGTGGTGATTCAATATAATACATATTCATAGAAACAGCGCCCTGCTGACACTTTTCCGCCAGATAAAGACGCCATGTGGACTGAAGCACTAACTCTCAGCAAGAGAGGAAATAAGCACACGGCCCTAGATGTCAAACTAGTCATCTAAACCTCACGTCTACATTTGAGTCTCGTCTCAAGAGTTTGCCTTTCATGGAAACCCCACGAGTAAATTTACTTCAGGACTTGACAGATTGCTTTACTCTATATGCCGTACCTGTCCACAGCAGCTCTCAGTGAGAGTCAGACCCTGGATCTGAGCCTGCAGAGAGCCCAGCTCCTCCCGGATTCCGGTCTCTCGTCCATCCAGAGACTGCTGCATCTGCTCCCGGCCGTCCATGTGCTCCCTGTGGCACTGGTTCTGCACCTCCCCGATCTTCTCGTCGCATTGGCTCTCTAGGCCAGTCAGGCGGCGCTCGAAGCCGTCCAGGATCTCGGCCCGCACGCCGGCCAGCTTGGCGTCCAGGATCTCTTCCACGTGGACCGTGGAGCCGGGGTGTTGGACGGGCCGGCCAAAAGCTTCATCCAGCAGCCTCTTCAGCTGGCCGTCGTGACCCAGGACCATCCCCTACAGGTGAGAAGGAGAGGAAGGTAGCCTTTAATTAAGGAAGGGGAGCTGAGGCCTGATCAATCAAACGGATACTCGATATTGTATCGATACACAAACGCCAAGTATCGATCTTTTATTATATAAACTATTAACATTGCATAGAGGGATGTTGGGATGTAGCATTTAGTTTCCTTTGGTGATTCCCATCTCTACTCTGTACGAGCACACTGGTACCTGAATCTCCTCCAACATGTGAGTTTTGGCTCGCAGCTCATCCTTCACTTCCGTCACCCGTCCTGCCAAGTCTCCAAATCCAGTGAAGGTTTCTCCTCCTTCCAGTCCATCAGGAGCCCCATCTGGAATCACCCCGAATCCCACCGTGGAGTCGTGCACTCGGGGAACGTTCGGTAGCAGCGACACCAGGATTTTGTTGGTGTCTTCCCGCAGAGACGTGCGCAGACGCTCCTCGAGGCCAACCACCACCCCGTTGAGGGTGTCTAGGCCCTGGGTGAGGCGACGCAGGTCCTCCTCCATGCGGTCCAAGCGCTCACCGGTCACTCCCGAAACCCCAAATTTGTTTCCTGTATTTCAGACCAGAAAATTCTTGTTTTACAGAGAGGTCAAAGCTTCACAGTGAATTGGTTGGTGCGTGTTCTCACCATAGTTTGGTCTTCCATTCCCAGCAGGCAGCTGTCCTGTGGGGATTTGTCCGGGGAAGGGTTTGCCGGGCTCCAGCTGACCTCCTCCGGGCCTCTGGTCCACAGGGGGTCGGGGGCCGTGGGGGAAGCCCTTCATCCCCGGGCGATGGGGCACACCCCCGCCTTTGAAAGGTGGCATCATGACATCGGGCAGCGACGTGGGTCCATCATAGCAGTTCTCTCCAGAGTAACCGGGACAACATCTCCACTCCAGCTCAGTCACCGACTTATAACCCACCTTGTACTTTGGCTTGTAGAACGTCCTGTACCTGCAGGAGACATGACGGGAGACACGTTTACTATCAGAGGTTAAGAGTATGTTACCACCGTCATGCCCGCTGTTATATGTTCCCAAAAGTCAACTGGAACAGCAAGCTAGTCTTAGTTGTGAGCGTGAAGGGGGGTCGAGCTGGCGCTGCAGGTCTGCATTTATTTTACGTGTGAAGGTTTTGAGACCAGTTTCAAGCTCTTTTATTATCAAACGCACAATGATTACGAAATACAAAGCAATGAAGATCTCAGGCTCCCTTAAAAAAATTATCATTAAATACGTATATAATACAAAAAATGAAAATCTCATAATGTAAGAAAAAGTCAAATAAGACAAAAAATTGTTAAATAAGTTAAAATATTTGGATAAAATAAAAAAAAATACATAAAATATGAAATAAAGAAGGCTAATATTTGTGATCAACAGTATTTAAAATGGATGAATTGAATGTAAAGAAGAATGTAGTAATGTATGTACCTAATAATAAGTTATATATACACATTATATACATTACAAATGTAGTGGTTTTGAATGTGTCTGAGTCACCCTGAGTCTGGTGGTTCAGGACTGGATGCTGAAAATAAGACTCAGATTATCCCGACAGTTTTAAAAGCAAAAAGGGAAGAAATGAACGTGATTTTAATCTGTGTGAACCAAACTCTAAACTAGCACTAGTGAAGAGTGAACCACACTGCACACATCACACGTTCTATCAGAAGCGTTGAAGAGCACAGAGGGCCGAGGACGGGAGGAGCAGAGCGAGCGATGAAGGGATGAAGAGTCTCTGTGGGATTAAACGAGGTTCAGAGCAAGATTAGGATATTAAGACAAAGTTTAGTGTAAATGACGTGTATCAAAGGATTGAACCGGGGTCAGCACCCAACTTCACTGTTATCCTGTCAAGATCCCCACACACACACACACACACACACACACACACACACACACACACACAC